AAAAAAAAAAAATTAAAAAACAGCGCTCTTTAAATAGCTAAATAGAAATTGTATGTAATAACCATTATTTCCAGCTACATAAAATGTTGATCAAAAAAAAATATTTACTCCCTCATTACAAATGAATAATGATAAGTAAAAATTAATTTACACAAAATAACAACTTTATATTTTTTCATGCAAAATTCTTACTATTCACAACTTTCTTTATCCTTCTCATTCCATGGATGGAGGCATTTTTTATAAAAGATTGCAACTATAAAAATGAGACTTCTATGAGCCCAGCCTTTAAGAGGTGCTACATATTTTCTCACATGATCGAAAATAGTTACATTATATAAAAAATTGTGATATCTGCCATATTAAAAACTTAGTTATAACAAAAGTCTAATTCAAACGAATCGCCTCTTGTGCTTATCTGCATTTATTTTCTTCGTCAGGAAGAGTTGTCATTTCTTACTTTTAGAAATGAAAAGAACAAACAAATTTAAATGTTATAGGATTTACAGAACATAATACAGAAAAGCAAGAATAATTTCACACAACCCTACCTTAATTACAGATGAAGTGAGCTTTCAACTTTTTAATACCATAACCAGCCATTAAAACTTATTAAAGTATAGATGTGTGTTTGTTAGTTCTAAGTTAAAATTTATTACCTTCCTGAAATATATTTCCTTTCATAAACTAGAGGTGCTAAACACAGCACATACTTTTTTACCATTAGTATTGATAATGCAATTATCAATACTAATGGTACTTATACCACAATTTTTCTCGGAATTATTGTTTGTAAAACTAATTTGAAATTGTAAAACATTTGGTACAAAAAATAAGTAGAATGTAAAAAAGTAAAATATTTAAAAGTTAATAACTAATACAATACTGATAGCAGTGGAAAACAAATAGATTGAAAAAATATAATATTAATTATTAAACACTATGGTATTGTAATATTCTTCAAATAGTTTTTAGAGTTTATAATTATTTTTTAATATAGTTATATAATTATAATATATGAGTATTAATTATAATATATAATTATTATATATAATTATATAATAGTAATTAAATTAACACATACAATTTTTTACTGTTTTTTTACTAAATAAAACTAAATATATAAATGTATTCATTTTATTTCCTCGAATTAAAAGCAGCCGTCATTACAGTGTTGTGTGTGCGGCGCAGGGTTACGACAATGGGTAACAACAACCACCAACGACCGCTCATCTACTCGTTTTCTCATTTAACACAATTTATTAAAGGACACAGTTTAAAATGAAATAATATAAATATATAGTACAACCATAATAAAATGATACCAATATGAAATAATACATACATTCCAACTTACGTAGCATTCAACTGCATAAATTGAGAGCAGGTGACTTTATTTATTAAGGTAGCAATCTTTATTTCATATTTATTTCAAATAGGTTTTAAATAATTACTAAATGATTAACTTGCAAACGTGTAAGAAACGAAAAAAGAAATATGAAATACTATATACACTCTAACATACGTAGCATCCATCTACCTCATAACACTTAAAATTACGGTCAAGAAGCGCAGTATTTTCAGTGTAGGCGACTAATTTTGACTGCAAAAATACTCAGTTTCGAAAAATTCAACATCACTTTATTTGAAAATCAGTTTTTGATGAACACATTTCATTAAGAAAATAAAATTGTATCTTCATAGTTGCACAAAAGTGCCAAAACAAATTTGAATCTTTTCAATTGTCGAGAAATCAGGGCTTTCAACCAACACGAGACCTGCAGTAGTTTCTTAAATGTTCTTTAAAATATCCACAAACACAATTTCATCAAACATGACTGAGCCAGTTTTTTAAAAAAAATTGTTTGCGCAAAAATTAAAAATTGCTTATATTTCATGGAACATTACACGAAAATACTTAAATTTTTGAAAAATTGTACATGACCATAATTCGAAATCTATCTTTTAATAAGTGAAAATTTTTTTTCAGTTAATATTTTAGTTGTATGAAAACTAGGAAAAAGATGAATATCACAGTCGGCATCAAAATTCCATCAAATAATGGCAGCATTTTTTAAATTTGTGTGTGTGTAGGCACGCGCACGCAATTGTGTTTTTATATTAGTTATCAATTTTTTACTGATTTAAACAGTTTTATTGTCATTTCAATGAAGCTTGCTTCAAATAATATTTATGAGATGCTACAAAATGTTCGCCATTGAATTTTTGAGTAGCCTATTCGAATTTTTTGTTCAGTAACTGTAATTAAGAGAATATAAACAAAGGTTCTGTGACGCCTATCACTGCCATTGTCAGTTCGGCCAAAATTGTGATAAATAGACAGATATATCATGGTAAGGAACAGTCCAAACCTCAAGGTTACAATCTGAGTTCACTTGAACAAAAAGGAAGAAGCCTTGTTTACATCAGTAACATATCCAACAACTTGAGTTACACATCTGAACTGTTTTTCAACAAATTTTTTAAACATTCTTCTTTGTTTTTAAGGCTTTTTAGAAACATTTTAAGAGAATTTTATTGTAATGTTTTAGGTCATCAAAATCCGCCCCCAGTTATGACATTTTGCAGTTTCATTATTGATATTGCAAATTTGTTGGATGTAAATATCTGTTGTTGGAAATCTGAATATTCTATTGTCTATAATCAAAGACATTGATGATATTTTAAGAAAAATTAACAAGTCTTCACCGTTTATCAAGACAAATGGAATGGACCAGAAGCTTGGGTTTTTTTTTTTTAACTCTTCCATGCTTTTGCAAATGTCATCATATCAGAGTTGTCAAATCTCTATCAACTAATAGTAACTGATATTAAATAAGTTACTATTTTATTAATAAAAATTGTCATCCTTGTTAAACACAATCTTTTTTTGTAACTAGTTTGGAGGTCTGCAATTACAGAAGTAACTCCTAGTCGACTTGAATATGGGAAAATGTTATAATGCCACAAGGATGACAAACTGGAATAGTACTGAATATTCACAAAACAGAAGCAAAAACAAATGCAAAACCTAGAGAGATCACAATACAGAAGCCTACGAGGTGTATGCAAACATTCTTAAGTCTTGCAACGAACTAAACAAAATAAGCGCAGAATTTTACATTAAAATTTTCAGTGCAAAATCAATTAAAATGAGACTGAAAGGAAGAGAACTGAAATACTAATAGAACAACAATTCATTGTACAAATCACAACCTTCACTTCCTTCATAACATTCTCTTATGGGAAGAGAAAACAATGATATCAAGTAAAAGAGAAATGTAGATTAAAGAAAAAAAGACATGTAAGTTCATTAGAAGCATCCGATATAAGATAAAGAGATTTGAGGTCAATATGAGGAGTACCTTGGATGGGTAGAACAAAAAATAATGAGAATCACAAAAAGCCTTCAAACTAAAAACACAGGAGAGACAACACAAAAGTACTCAAGAAAGAGACAGGCTTGTGTTAAAAGAATAAAACTCAACAGAGTCCCTAAACAGGTTTTGAATGGATCAAGAAGAACCAGGCAGGCAAAGGAAAAGGTGAGAGGATCACGAAAACCTCAGTGGCCACTTGGAATACTGAAAGGAAAGGAAGTGGACGCTAGAACTAACCCTTCAAAGTTCACAATGAGTTAGAAAA